CGTGACATATTCCCGCTGAGCACCCAGCCCTTGCTGGGCCTGGAGGACAGGGTCCTAGGAAGGGCAGCAGCCCATGTCCAGCCGTCCAGAGGCTTGCATTCTGGTTGGGACAACAAGAGAGCCTAGTAAGCTGGGTGGGCCAGAGGTCAGGCCAGTGGCCCTGGCAAGTCAGCCCCCAGACCCAGAATCTTTGTCTTGCAGCTGGGGCCCGGCGCCTGAAGCAGCTGCTCAGCTTTGCCCTGGGTGGACTCTTGGGCAACGTGTTTCTCCACTTGCTGCCCGAGGCCTGGGCCTACACGTACAGCGCCAGCCCTGGTGAGTAAGGCCACAGACTGGGGGTAGGAGGGTAGAGTTTAGAGGGAGCTGGTACCCATGCCTGGGGGTGGCCTAGGCCCTGCCCACTCTGCCAGAATGACTTGGAGAGGGGTTCTAGGCATTTGGCAGGGAACTTGTCCCCGTCCTACTGCCCTAGTCCCTGTGGGAGTCCCTGGGGCCCAGCTGCCCCACCAGCCAGTCCTGCCCCCCAGTCCTACCTCCCCCAACCCCCACCCCTGTCCCTGCCCTGGACTAGGGCCCATTCCAAACGGCCGCCTTCTATGGCCCTGGCTTGGCCTGGCCTGTCAGTGCTGCCCCCTACAGGTGGTGAGGGGCGCAGCCTGCAGCAGCAACAACAACTGGGGCTATGGGTCATTGCTGGCTTCCTGACCTTCCTGGCTTTGGAGAAGATGTTCCTGGACAGCAAGGAGCAGGAAGAGAGCAGACAGGTGAGCCCCAAACCCCAGGACCTGGATACCTCAGCATCTGTTGTGTGGTGGTGCCAGGGCCTAGAGGCCCAGGTTCTGAGCTGAACCCTGAAGAGAGGGTCTCTTGGCCTTTTCTTGGGAGTTCTGGGAGGCTGGGCCAGCTTGTTTGGGGAATGAAAGCATCAGCCCCTGCCATGGCATGTTCTCATGCGGGAGGTGGACAGTCTTGAGTTTGGGAGCATCCACCGGCTGACAGAGCAGCAGAGAATTCTAGCCAGACAAAAGGGCTGTTCCCTCTCTGTTTCTCCATCTCTCACTCCCCTTCTGCGTCTACCCTGGCTGAGTGGGGGGCATCTAATGTCACCTCTCCCCCCTTCTCCCGGCCCTAGGCCCCCAGCAAAGACCCTGCTGCTGCTGCCGAGCTCAATGGAGGCCACTATCTGGCCCAGCCGGCTGCAGAACCCGGCCTGAGCGCCGTGGTCCGGAACATCAAAGTGAGTGGCCCGCTCAGGGCCCCCTCCTCCTGCAGCTGCCCCGCCCTGAGTGGCCAGCCCAGCTCAACTCTGCCTATCTGGTTTAGCCCGGCTTTCTCTCCCCTCACCCAGGTCAGTGGCTATCTCAACCTGCTGGCCAACACCATAGACAACTTCACTCATGGGCTGGCTGTGGCTGCCAGCTTCCTTGTGAGCAAGAAGGTGAGTGGGGGTCAGGGCAGGTGGGGTCCAGGCATTTCTGGTGGGAATGACCCAGTACCTGTGTTGACCAGTTGGCTCTACTTTCAAACTAGGTCTTTAGTCCATCACTTCTTATTCCTTGTTTCAGCAACACCCTCATCTGAGTCCCCAGTTTTCCCTGGGGGACAGCTCTCCCGGACACAGCCTTCTATTGTCCCGAGCCACTGGTCTGTTCTTGCTGTGGACGCTCCTTGTTGGGATCACAGCCCCTGCCTGCTTCTGAATGCTTCTCCCCGACCTTCTCCCTCTACCCTCTGTGCTCTGGCCCCAGCAGTCTGCCTACCCTTGAGCTGGCCAAGCTCTTTTCCCCGTCGTGGCTTCCACTTCACACTATTCCATCCTCCTGGAACGTTCTTCCTCCCACTCTTTGAACAGCTGGCTCTTCTTCAGGCTTTGGCTTAAACACCCTTCCTCAAAGACGCCTTAGCTGACGCTTTGTCTAAACTAGGCCCCCATTACTCATGCTCCACAGCACCTGTTACAGTGTGTGATCACTCGGTTTTTTGTGTGTTTACTCAGTCCTGGCCTCTCTGCTCCAGACCGTTAGTTTCATGAGGGTAGGTTTTATCTGTTTGATTGGCTGCTGTATTTCCAGTTGGCAAACGGTGGCCAGCCAGAGCCTCAGAGCAGAGCAAATACTAGTAGAATTAGTGGATAAGTGGGTGCCTTGGCCCTCGGCACAGACGCCCACAGACTCCCTTTTGTGCAGATCGGGCTCCTGACCACCATGGCCATCCTCCTGCACGAAATCCCCCATGAGGTGAGTGCCAGAGGGTCCCATGTCAGCTCCATGGGGGCCCAGAGCTTGGGGAAGGGGTTGGGTGGGACAACCTGGCGGTGGCAGGCTCAAGGATTGCACTTTGGAGGCCTGGAACTGCTCAGCCCACCAGGCTGCAGCCACCGTCTCAGCCATGCTTCGGCCTTCTCAGGCTTGGGGTCCCAGCCAAGGGATGTGGGCTGGGGGACCCAGCGGCAGGGCTGGTGCAGGGGGCTTGGTGTACGTGTCCATACCTGAAGCGCTCAGGGGGTCTGGCCCAACTGAGGCCCAGAGTGATCATCTGGACCTCCCCTCAGGTGGGCGACTTTGCCATTCTGCTCCGGGCCGGCTTTGACCGATGGAGCGCAGCCAAGCTGCAGCTCTCGACGGCACTGGGGGGCCTGCTGGGCGCCTGCTTCGCCATCTGTACGCAGTCCCCCAAGGGAGTAGGTACGGGCGTGGTGGGTGGTGGCGGCAGGTGGCGGTCAGCAGAGGGGCCTCAGCCAAGGGCACACCTGCCCCACTCCTGGCATCCAGGCCCGTTCTGCCCTTGGTCCACCCTGTGGGAGGGGGTGTGGTACACATGGCTCTCCTGGGCTCCCAGACAGTCGGGCCTTCTCCCGCTGCAGAGGAGACTGTGGCCTGCATCCTGCCTTTTACCTCTGGTGGCTTTCTCTACATTGCTCTGGTGAACGTGCTACCTGACCTCTTGGAGGAAGATGACCCGTGGTGAGTGACCCACTGGGACTGCCACTCACAGGGTCGTTAGGGGATCAAAGGGGAGGAGATTCTGGTCTCTGCCCCTCTCCCGTCCTTGTGCCAACCCCTCCCTAGTGCCACCCCCTCCCTGGTGCCACCTCCCTGAACTCTGGCCCCTCTCCCCACAGGCACTCCCTGCAGCAAGTGCTTCTGCTCTGCATGGGCATTGTGGTGATGGTGCTGTTCTCGCTCTTCGTGGAGTAATCACCCCGACACCCAACCCCCACACAGCAATAAGAGACTTGGATTTACTCTGTGACCGTGTGTGAGGCAGAGGGGGCGAGTGCCTGTGTGAACAAGCGAGCCTCTAACCAGACAGAGGACGGGTGGATGTGTGTGTGTGTATGAGGTGTGCATGTGTGACCAGAGGTGTGTGTGAGACCGACACTGTGATCCCTTGTGCACTGGGCCTCAGTTGGGCCCAATGCATGCACTTGCCACTAGGCACGCTGTGGTCCTCTCTCCTTGACATCCTGTCATCTTGGACGTCCTGGAGTAAGCAGTGAGGAAACAGCAGCATTGGCCCCAAGCAGAAGCCTTTCCCTCCCGGAACCCCAAGGGGAATGAGGGCAGCCCAAAGAGCCCTGGGCTGCAGGGAGCCCCAAAGCTACCTTCCGCTGGGGCCTCATGGGCCCCGGGCTAAGGGATAAACTCCTCTGCTCATGCACTCAGCCTTGGGCAGCCTAGGGTTGAGGCTAGGTTAACCTCTCTGCTACGCCAATCATCTTGGCCCATCCTTTGCCAGCTCTAAGGCCAAAGAAAGGAGAGGCAGGTGCTCGTGTAGCGCCCCCAGCCCCACTCAGCACTGACAGTCTTCTCTGTCCTAGCATGGAGCTGGGAGATGCTTTCTAAGACCTTTTTCCTCATGGCTACCTTCCCTGGGTCAGCTTCTGTTCCCCTAGTGAATGCTCCCTGGCAGCACCAGCAGCTCTTGCCACCTCCAGCTGCCAAACAGCAGCCCGCAGGGCAGCCAACAGTCCCAGGCAAGAGAGGCCTCCCGGTCCAGCTCAGGGATGCTCGTGCCAGCACAGGGTCCAGGCAGATATTCTGGGGGCAGGAAGAGAATGAGCCAGGGCTGTCTCTCCCTGCCGGGGCCCCTTTGCCTTTCCCAATGCGGGTGGAAATAAGGTGGGGGTGGTGAGGGATCCATGTTGTCAGCACTCAAGAATGTGCTCTGGGAGAATGCTGAAGCCATAATCCCCAGCTATTTCCCTTGGCTGGCGCCCAGGTACTCAGCTGGCCCACTCTACAGGCAGGCTCCAGCCCTGCTTCTCAACCATGGACGTTCTGAGAAGTGGCCATCGAGAGGGTCTGAATGGTTTTACAGCAGTTTTGCTGTGGTTCCGATTGTATCTATAAATACATGTTCTATAGATAAGATGCAAATAAATATTATACACAAACCTGCTGCCTCTGTTCTGCAGACCATCATCTGTGGTCAGGCAGGGCTTCCTGGGTGCCTGTGCTCCGATCAGGTTGTCTGCTCCTTGGCCCCAGCTCCTGCTGGCCACCTGCCGGTCTCCTGTCATCGCCACCTTCCGTCCTGCTTTGTGCTCATCTCTGAACCTTGCAGTGTTTCTTGGAACAGGGGATGGCATATCATGTTTCCCTGGCTTGTTTTGTTGTTTGCTTTTTATCCTAATAAAACAAGCCTGGCACTGTGCCATTGTAGCCCCTAGCACCAAAGGTGGCCTTTTCGTATCGACCTATGAGCCAGGTCTTCTTCCCAGCCTGCCGCCTGATAAATTTAAAAAAGCTCCATCACAAAGCCATCTCCAGGTTTGGCCTCAATTAAATTATTTTTCATTAAAAAGAAAAAATATGGGATTCTTATTCTAAACCACATACCCTCATCTCCTCTGAATGTGCTGAGTGTAAAGACAGCATCAGGCACCCGGGGGCGCTGCTTCCCCACAGTGCTATCAGGAGCACACAGAAGGGTTCACCCATTCCAAGCCAACCAGGACCACCTCCAAGTAGCCTGTTGGCCGCCAAGTGCAGCACGTCTGCCCAGCATCACAGACTCCTGCAGGGGCTGTGAAGTCCAAATCACAGCACCCTCAGCTGTGAGTGCCTGGCTTTGAACCAGTATCTTAGCAAAAAAGAGATCCGTTTCACCTAATTGTGACCCACCCGGGATCTGGCGGGTCTGTGCCTGATCCGTCAAGAAAGGAATGAAGGGCTGTCTGGCCAGCCCCCACCCTCCTTTTGACAGTTCTGGGGCTCCAGTGTTGAGCCTCAGGTGGTGACTGGGGGGTTACTCAGGTGCCATGGCCAGATGGATGCCCCCACTGGCTAGAAGAGAAAACGGAATACAGGAGTGGGGGCAGCTGACCCCGGAGAAGGAGACAGACCAGAAGCACTTCAGAGGCTGTGCTGGGGGCTCCTCAAGCAGGGGTGGAAAGTCAATGGGATCGCCAAGGACAGCGACGTGAGGACGCATTTGGACACTCAAGTAGGAAGGTGGCTCAGGTGGGTTTTGGAAGTGGCAGGAGGGGATCAGAGCTAGGAAGGAGTCCAGACTTCCAGAACAGGCTGAGGCCCAGTCAGTAGTTCATGGTGGGCATGTCCCCTTGGTGGGGAGTGGGGGCAGGGGAAATAGTGTAGTGGCTTGTGCCAGAGCACATGGAGCCAGAGCTGATGGAGAGTTCTGGAAGGCTGTTACTCTGAAAGGCCATTCAAAGGGCCTTTCCAAGGATGGGCCTGACAGAGAATGGGGTTTATGGCAGAATTACAAGGAGGGCGAGAACACAGCATGACCAAAGGTTAGGCTCACAGTGGGTCTTCCTAGAGGTTCATTTTTCAGCCAGAGGAAATGGGCCAAAAGAGCTAATGGGGGCGTGTGGAGAAACAGGAGGCTTGGGGGCCAGGAAACAAGGCCCAGGGCCACAGCACCAAAACATGAAAAGGGAAGGCTGGCTCTATTTAGGCTTTTCATTCTAGAGCTGATGGGCCATAACTTCTGAAGCTTCGGGAGAGGGGGAGCAGGGAGTGAGGAGTCAGGTCTGAAGGGACACAGTGGGAGAGGCCAGGAGATCCCCGAGGACAGCTGCAGCACGCGCCCATCCCTCCCAGAGGGCCTTGCCCTGACAACTGGTTTGAGGCTGTCTAGGGTTCCTAGGCGGCGGCACCTAGGGAAGGGGTCTCATGCACGTACCCCCACTCTTCCACTCAGAGCCCAGGGAAGGTGAGACAGACGGGTGGCAGGGACCTGAAACCATCTTTTATTATAAATTTTAAACAGCAAGATACCAGGGAGTGGTATGGCAGGTGACACCCTAGGCGTAGTACTGCAGGTTGGCTTTCTTCTTGGCCTGCACCTCCAGGATGCCCTCCATGTAGTCCTCATGGGTGAGCTCCGTGGCACCCCTGCGTAGTGCGATCATGCCCTGCACCCAGGACAGACAAGCTCTAGGGTGCCTCTGGGGATCCCTGGCCTGGCTCCCAGGGGCCATAGCCTTCTCAGCTTCCTCCCCTCAGTAGTCTGTACCAGCCAAATTCCCCTGCCTGGTCCAGGGAAGGGGGCAAAAAGGCATGAAGCACCCACCCACCCTCCTCACTCCACCACTCACCGCCTCCACACACACGGCCTTGCACTGGGCCCCATTGAAGTCATCCGTACAGCGAGCCAGCTCCTCGTAGTTCACATCAGGACTGGGTGGGGTGAGGGGGACACACATATGCCACAGGGCTCAGTTACTTGTGGGGAGGGGCGGGGGCAGCAGATGTACTCCCACACTGCCCCCATCAAGCCGTGAGGCCACCTTGCCCTGTGACTGTAGGCAAGTCCCTTCCCCACGGTGCCTCGTTCTCTTCTTGGTACAAGATGGGGTGCGGGGCATTCAAAGCAGGTTAGACTAGGTTATTTCTGCGTCTCTTGAGCTCTAGCCTTCTGGCAATCTGTACCTGAGACCTCAGGGACTGATTCAGCCTCTGGTAGGTTAGCAGGAGGGTGTGGAGACAAAGGATGGCCGTCTCCCCCTCTCCTGAGTAATGCGGGCCCTGCGTCAGCACTGCACTGCCATTCAATGGTCTCCTGTGCCAAGCACTGTGCTTGATGCTGTCACAACCCCATAAGGTCAGTGTCATTATCTCCAAGTCCCACTTAAGAAAACTGAGACTGAGAAAAGTTATGCCACTTGCTGAAGGTCACAGAGATCTGAATCCAGGTCCACTTGGCCCCTGGCTGGTTCCCTCTGGGCCATGTTGAACTGTGTTCATCTGCTGGGGTAGGGGAGGCTGGGAAACTGAGGGCCTCTGGCCTGCAGACCTTTCAATTGGGAGAAGGTAGACTCTAAGGAGCAAAGCACCCAGAATTAGGGCCTGGGCTCCAGCAAGACTCTACTCCCGGCACCTGGGAGAAACGGAAGTTGCTGTGTAGAACAATGCTATGTGTGAACAGCATTTGGAGGAGTGGGTGGAGGCCTGGGGAAGCTCAGGATAAAGAGAGACAGTGACCGCTTTGCTGCTGCCCCTTTGGGGCACAGCACCTTGCTCATGGTGTCCTTGCTCACCTGACGTTCATCTTTCGGGAGTGGATCTGCATGATTCTGGCCCGGGCCTCCTCGTTGGGCATTGGGAACTCAATCTTTCGGTCCAGGCGGCCTGAGCGAAGCAAGGCAGGGTCCAGGATGTCCACCCTGTTAGTGGCTGCAATTACCTGAGTAAGGAAAGCAGCAGCAACTTGAATTGAGGAGGAAGGGGTTCACAGACAAGCAAGTCATGGCCATGACAGGCAGAGAGGCAGCCCAGAGACCAGGTGAAAGGGCAGCAGATGGTCAAGAATGACCCCAATTCCAATTCTAACTGCACTAGCTAGGTGACCAAGGTCCCCTGACCTCAAAGCCCCATGTTCTTTATCTGTGAAGTGATAACAATACTCACCTTTACTTGGGTGTTAGGCTGGAACCCGTCCAGCTGGTTCAGAAGCTCCAGCATCGTCCTCTGCACCTCCCGGTCCCCGGCCTTCTCACTGTCAAAGCTGGGGCACACGGGAGGCCCGAGACACTGGTGAGGCCACAGCTCAGGCTGAGCCCTCCCCTCCTCCACCCACCAGAAGCCTAACCCTACTCGCCCAGGGCAAGGAAATGTCTTGCTAAACTTAGGGCCCCCAGCCCAGGGTCTGTCACAGATAAGGTGTCAGTAACTGCTGATTGCAACAGAGACCAGAGAGGCTGCTGGGATCAGGTGCCAAAATTAAGATAAAACAGTGAGCAAAACCAGCCACTGCCTGCCTGAGTTACCCTCTGATGAACGTGCTGTTGCAAACTGAGCTAAAGCTTAGAAATACAGGGATCCGGCCCAGACTTGGAGCGTAAGGGAGAGTCCAGGCAGGCATCCCTGGGGAAGTGTTCCTCAGCTGAGACCCACAGGCTGAAAACCCACTGGCTGGGCAACCAATTATTGGAGAAGGGAAAAGGAAAAGCACATTCCAGAGAGACAATAGCAGGTGTAAAATCTCTCCCACCACAGAACCACAGTGGGCCTGCAAGCCGAGGGGACACTGTGGAGAGTCCAAGGGACAGGGGAGGCAGGGGCAGGAATGAGATGAGGCTGGACGTGAGCAGGGACAGCCACACAGGGGGCCCTGCAGACCACGACAAGCCCAGCATTTACCCCAAGGAGCAACAGGGAGGCCCAGGAATGGTTTTAAGTAGGATCTGTTTACGTGAGAGACTGTCAGTGTGTGTGAGTGACGTGACCAGGTTTCGTAACAAAAATGCTGCCAGTTGTGAGAATGGACAATCAAGGAAAAAGAAAAGCAGCAGGGAGGGTAGTTAGCAGAGGATTTAGGCAGTAGAACCACAAAAATAGAGCTGCCACCATCCCAGGGGAGGAGACAGAAATTTAGAACAATCCCCTTGGTGGCACCCACCCCCTTACCGCTTGGTGCCAATGGCATCCAGCTCATCAATGAAGATAATGGATGGAGCTTTCTCTTTGGCCAGGGCAAAGGCGTCACGGACCAGCTTGGCACCATCCCCGATGAACATCTGCACCAGCTGGGGGCCAGCCAGCTTCAGAAAGGTGGCCTGGGTGGGGCAAAGATGGGGGATAACAAGAGTCACAAGAAGCCCCTTTGAGCCTGCAGTGCTTAGCTCCTGCCCATTTCCTCCTCATTCCTCCCAAAGCACTCACCTTGGTCTGTGCAGCACAGGCTCGGGCCAGCAGGGTCTTCCCTGTACCTGGGGGCCCGTACATCAGAACCCCCTTTGGAGGTTGGATCCCCAAGTTCTCAAACTTCTCTTTGTGGTTCATTGGCAGGACAATGGCCTCCACCAGCTGCCAGGAAAAAGTCCTGAGTAAGGAGAGTGAAGCCCTGACGGTTCCTACAGCCTAACCTTTAATGGCTTCAACCCCAATCTCAAACCCTCCTATTCCGATCCCAGGACACTGGCCTCCC